AAACTCGTGCAGTAACTTGCGTTTGCCGCAATCGTTTCCTGCATCCTTTAGCCGTCTTCTCCGGCGACCTACTGCGAGACTCACAGAGGATGTGGCTGCGTAATCAATTTTTAAGCGTGGACTTTTAATTGCGTGGCTTTTGCGCAACAGAAAATTCATCGCTAACGATCGCCACATTCTCACACGATTGCTACACGCGGCTACGTCTTATTAACGATCAAGATACCTCGCGTAGTTTCCGCTGTCAGTTGTAGATTCATTCAAAGAAATCGTGTTGGAATGAATGAAACTATCCTGTGTTCGATGAGACGTTATGGGAGTTAAGCGTGCGATTCAAACTTCGAAATTTAAATCTGCAATTCATTCTGTGGAATTATTGATGCAGCGTTATAGTATACTTTGGTCTAGTATATCTTCTAAGATATACATCTTCCATAAAAATTTTAAGTTGCAAGTCGAGATCTCGTCCATTGTCCCCGGTTATATCGGGTCCAAATGGGCAACTCGCACGATGTTGGACACTTTACCTATTGCTACACTGAACAGCGTTGGATCCGCGAAAGAAGCTGATATATCACGATGGATATCGGGGATACAATCGTAGAAAAGTTGCGGTCTCGATCCACCGTTCTGCATCCTTGTAGCCGATAAATCGTATGTCGAACTCGGTCAGGTCGAAAAGAAATGCAATTTACATTTTGTTTTCCGCGTTGTTTCGCTGCTGGCAGCTGGCACGACCCGACTTGCCGAATAAACTCCCCTTTATTACGTTATAGAGCTATTTGAATTTCGTATCTTGAATTATTAACGCGTTGATTGCTGTGGTCAGCTCTATTCGAGTGACATTTAGTCTGAAATTTCTGAACTGACGTTTGCTAAATAACGTTGCAATTGAAGTAAGCGAAGTTTTTAGATTTGAAATTTTATGTCAATATTTGAGAAAAAGTTTAGGAGATGTAGAAAATAAGACACTAAAATTCAATTTGAGTTCATTGTTTCTGTCAACTCTTTTGGTCAGCTACTTCCATATTTGATATTCTACCATGAAATTTTTTTTTAATCGTTGTCACATACCTTTAATATTTCTGTTTGGTTATAATTGCAAGTCCAACGCGTGTATTTCACTGTGTCTCGATGAAAATGATCGGAATAGCATCGAACGGAAAAATCGAGTATTTCTGGTTCGTAATTTTATCGTCGTTTAGCCAAACGACGTCGTCACAGTGGAGCTGTTAATTACACGAGCCTATTCGTCACCGTTTGAACGCATTTAACCGCGAATTCCAGCGACAAACAGGGTTGTTTTCTATGGCGCGTTATCGCATCGGAACGAAGTTCGCGCGCAAAGTCGCCCTTTAATTACGCTCTCGTCGAGAGTTACAGGGCTACTTTGATTTCCCGCGCGTCGGTCGATCGCGAATCGAGGGGAAAAAAGATTTGCGAGAACGAGTCGGCCGAGCTATTCGCGGAATACAAACGAATCCTCTTTTCCCTCCTTTCGCCTGATAACCGGCTGTTCCTCCAGACTATTTTCGCTGCTGAACGATCGAAAGGAGCTCTCTTTTACCGTACCCTTTCATTGTGCTTCTCGTTCCTTTGCCGAAAGCGCCCGATCGAATCGTTCCACTAGAAACCCTTGAGGAGATGCATCGTTGTTGGAAAGTTTAGAAGCGATTGCTTCCGAGAGCGATAAACCCCTGCGGAAACGTGCGGAGAAATCTTCCCGTTTTTGATATTAAACGAGTAGGAATTAGACCATATATTTTCGATGCAAATAATTTCTCTTCAAAAGTTCACTGCGGTCGGAAAACGATACCGTAGTCAATTTATATTCCCGTCATCAATATTCATTTGAAATACAACTTCAATTAATAACAGCTCGAATTGTAACTTTTGATAGTTTATTTTAGTTTCTGGTTCGAATATAAACATTGTATTTTAGTTTCAATTAGCGATAGTTGACTTTAATTTCTATTATTAACAGTTTATTTTAATTTCTGTTATTAACAGTTCATTTCAATTTCAGTTATTAACAGTTCATTTCAATTTCAGTTATTAACAGTTCATTTTAATTTCACTTTTTAACACTTCATTTTAATTTGAGTTACCAACATTTTAGTTTAAATTAACGCCAGTTAATTTTAGTCGGAGTTGTCGATAATCATTGTTAATTAGACTCGAGTCTCGAATTAGCGAATTCTAATTTATGTAACTGTTTGGATGTTGCGTTTGCTATACTCGCAACGATGATTTCTAGACTGCCAGAACACGTCTCTGTGTTTAGGCTAATTCGTCTGGCAAGACTCGAGCGCAGAAACGGCGAATTTGAAGAGGATATACGGCATCGCGGCTGAGCCGAATTAGCGGGTTCACGGGGAGGCCGTTTAACGTGAAGGAAGGTTAATCCGATTTGCATTTAATCAGCGAGCGAACCGTGCGATGAATATTCAAAACACGCATAGGCCGTTTTACTTTAATGCTGAATGTTTATCTTTGCCTGTCGCGTGTCATCGTTTCGAGAACTTGGTTAATTCTAAGGAAAAACCATCGTTGTCATAATCATTTCATTTGTATAGAGCTTATATCTTGATTCACAAGATGCTGCACGGATCAAATGACAAGTTCATCAGCTAATGTTGAAAGTCAGAGATGAAACTGCAAAATGGAAGAAGGCATCGATGAACATTTAAAGCTGCAGGGTATTGTATCACACGAATGTTTGATCAAAGAACCGGTCAAAAACGAATCACGAGATATCTGTTTTCAACACGAGTCACGAGATATCTCGTGTTATGAAGGATGAATATTAATTAGCCTGTAACCGATCGGTTTTTGGGTAAATTTGTTTAGGTTAATCGTTCCATACGGGTAATGTCTGACTCACAGATTAACACCTTTGGCCGTTCAGTTAAAATGTGTGCGGAGTCTAATTGGAATAAATGGATACATTTCGAAGGAAAATTTTATTTAACTCCAAAGACAGTTCAAAAATAGAGTTATACTGTATTTGTCTTTGACTTTTATTTCAGATAGGAGATTTCAAGTTAGCATCAGAAACTATCTTTACCAAGTCCAATAATCGTAAATTAATCGATGAAGCATGTGCACCCGAGTGTGACTAGATAGCAACTGGGTAGCTCTCACGTTTCAGTCGATTTTACGTACATGTCCTTCCCGAAAGGGTTAAGCGGTGGAATCTACATCGATGCGTTTCGACAGAGCAACCTTTTCAAGAAAGCTCATCCTCTTAGTAGCCTGTTAAATATTCACGAGAACCCGTCGTTTGAACGTGTGTTACCGTCGACGAGGTGCAGGACCTGCTATCGAGCTATGACGAGCCCCTTGAGAATCCGGTCGCTTTTCCTTTTCCATGGACTCGTTAAGATTTCCTCCTCGAAATTACTGCGCACCCGAAGGGCTCCTACGATTTTATTAATCCTTCACTGCTTATTTGTGTGGGTTCAACGTTTCACACCTTGTTGCTCTTATCTGAACATGTGTTTCCTTATTTTGCGTTTTCGTTTCATGACGGAATTGACTATGCAAAATTGTTAAGTAGCACTATAGTGTCATTTTATTCGACCAACATGAACTTTGCTACGTAGTCAATACCCATTGAAAGCTTGAAAGTATCATTCATGAAAGCAAGTCATCAAAGGGTACCACAAAGTGTTCTAAAGTGTTATGTTGACGAAATAAAAAGTTTTATTAACAGTATACTCGTGAGAAATGCTACTAAAGAGCATTATACAAAATAATATTACGAAATTTTGTGTACTTTAACATTTCGTCCCTTTAACATTTGTCATTCGGATCTAATAGTGATAGTACGTAATACGAGTTAAGTGCAGATAAATGAAATCGCGTCTACACATATCGCACCTGTAAAATTTGACGCGAAAGTCGCAACAAGCAGTTAACAGTGTGGACCCCCATAACTCCCGTCCACTTGCCCGAGATTCATGGAACGACGGTCGTAGAGTGGCGAAGAGTCTAGAATACGAGTTTCGTGGTCGTAGCTGTCGACGTAATCGCCATTCTTTTATGTCGGGTGCGTCATGACCCGTAGAAACAATGTGTCACCGGGTCGTAACAGCGTTTTAGTTGGCCCGAAATTACCAAGACGAATTTCCTAGGTCCAGGTACAATATGTACCCTAACCTTTCGTATGGGATTTAACAATTTTATCGCGTATGCCGTTCACCATGAATGCCGGCGAACTTTTACGAGTTCTTTTACTGTTCAATCCCTTCCAGCGGCTTTTGTGTCTGCGGACGTGGTTGATAAAAGTGAGACCGGAAAACTGTAAAAGTAGGAGAGTTTGAATTATAGGTGAGTCATCTTTTCAGAGGAGTAATTGTAGAGGGTATTCTTCCGAAATGGTCATTTTTAAATTATTGTCACATTTTAGGTACCTGGTTTCTGGACAATTCTGAGTAATTATAGGAATTTTTGTCTAAGCGTTTGAAATAGCTGATAAATCTCTCAAGTTTTGAACTATTTCAATCTTTGGACCGAGGGTACCGATTTAAAATACACATTATTCTTTTGAAAATTCTCCTCTGAAGATTCGAGTGTTTAATCTTTGTCATAGTTTCCTATGATTTCTAAACTTGAAGTATCGATTCCTAAAGGTATTTCAAGCTCTGTACTACCATAACTCAACAAGATAAATGATTCTATATATAAATATACAAAAGTCGATAATCAAGCGAAAAATAATGCGATCAAAATTGGGTCTTTTATTGGCTGTTGTGAAACAAATGCACTCGATCGTTTATATACGGGCTGTCGGTCGAAGGTTCGTAAATATTTGCCCACTGTTTATCAACGATCCCAGAGGTTATATTTGGCTAATTTTTTAACGCACTTTTTAACCCAAGGATAACATAAATTATGAGATATTTCCAGAGCATGTCGATATTTACAAAATACGGTGAATCATGGATAGTTTGTTTTCTCAATACGACAAAATTAACTGGATAGACGAGTAATTGTTGTTTCATCGTTTGATTTATTATGACAACATACGAAAATACAAAATTCTCTACGAGCTAGTTCATATGTATCCGCAGTTCATCATTTATTTACAACGTTTATACGCAGAGATCAATAACTTAGGATTTAGTATTAAATTAGTATGAAAATTGATACACGTGACGTCATGTTGTGCGATGATTGTTTGTGGTTTAACTTTAACGACCCCATCCAGCTCTGCAATAAACAATTTTCCATTATTCAAATTATCGTATCAAGGTTGTTGTAATTTTGTAAACGCGCGCGGTTGAAAGGAGCGAATGAGGGCTAGAGAGAGAGAGAGAGCGAGAGAGAGAGAGAGAGAGAGAGAGAGAGAGAGAGAGAGAGAGAGAGAGAGAGAGAGAGAGAGAGAGAGAGAGAGAGAGAGAGAGAGAGAGAGAGAGAGAGAGAGAGAGAGAGAGAGAGAGAGAGAGAGAGAGAGAGAGAGAGAGAGAGAGAGAGAGAGAGAGAGAGAGAGAGAGAGAGAGAGAGAGAGAGAGAGAGAGAGAGAGAGAGAGAGAGAGAGAGAGAGAGAGAGAGAGAGAGAGAGAGAGAGAGAGAGAGAGAGAGAGAGAGAGAGAGAGAGAGAGAGAGAGAGAGAGAGAGAGAGAGAGAGAGAGAGAGAGAGAGAGAGAGAGAGAGAGAGAGAGAGAGAGAGAGAGAGAGAGAGAGAGAGAGAGAGAGAGAGAGAGAGAGAGAGAGAGAGAGAGAGAGAGAGAGAGAGAGAGAGAGAGAGAGAGAGAGAGAGAGAGAGAGAGAGAGAGAGAGAGAGAGAGAGAGAGAGAGAGAGAGAGAGAGAGAGAGAGAGAGAGAGAGAGAGAGAGAGAGAGAGAGAGAGAGAGAGAGAGAGAGAGAGAGAGAGAGAGAGAGAGAGAGAGAGAGAGAGAGAGAGAGAGAGAGAGAGAGAGAGAGAGAGAGAGAGAGAGAGAGAGAGAGAGAGAGAGAGAGAGAGAGAGAGAGAGAGCGCAAGAAACAAAAGGACGCGAAACGGCCGGAATCGAGTGAGTGCGATTCAGGTAGAGAGCGAGTGTACTGTGTAAAGAAAAATATAGCAGCGCATCATTGACATCGACTCCGAATCATTTTCCTTATTCTTTCCTTACCCTAATTTTCTCCTTTCCTCCCCAATTTTCCCTTTCCCCCTTTTCCTCCAAAAATACTACAAGGTATTGTTTAAAAAATATAAGTTTCTTTCTTATTGGGGATATTTTTGTAATGATTAATTATTTACCCAACATTGGCGTAAGATATGGTGGAAGATCGTCGATCGGGTGGCAGATTATAATAGGTATTATCACCCCCGTCGTAGTCTTGGTCATAAAACGGTCTGCGGAACCAGAAGACGTATGGGTACCTCACGGTGTCCCTGGCAGCCAGTAATTCTAGATTATCTGTATTCAAAATAAACAAAATTTCTATTCATTTATTTTCACAATGTACTTGGTTCATTCAGAAAACAGTGACTCCTTCAAGCTTCATATATTGATCCTTTTTAAACTATCAATTAAAATTCTGTACACTTTCAGAAACATTCACACTTGGAGTCTTATAAAAATTTCTTTCTCAAAATATAAATTAATCCTGGCAGTGTAATGAACACTTTCAGAAACATTCACACTTAGAGTCTTATTATAAAAATTTCTTTTACAAAATATAAATTAACCCTGGCAATGTAATGAACACTTTCAGAAACATTCACACTTGGAGTTTTATTACAAAAATTTCTTTTTCAAAATATAAATTAACCCTGGCAATGTAATGAACACTTTCAGAAACATTCACACTTGGAGTCTTATTATAAAAATTTCTTTTTGAAAATATAAATTAACCCTGGCAATGTAATGAACACTTTCAGAAACATTCACACTTGGAGTCTTATTATAAAAATTTCTTTTTCAAAATATAAAATCAATGACAATGTAATGATTCATATTTCATGTACAAACTAAAAATTTATAGACTTTATACATAGATTAACTTGTCCTTTCAAAAGTGAAGAACTGATTGTTAAGCAAAATGTTCATGAAAAAAATTCTTAATTTCACATTTTATCTGAAATATAATAGTCTTCTCACCATTTTGTGGTTCAGCAACGGGCATCGCCAAAACAAGCACCAACTGCAAAAAGACGATCCAAAGAGAGAAGACCCTCGTGTTCATGGTTGGTCACGGAGATGAGATGAAATCGCGAACAAACTTTTGTCTGAACAGCAATGCTCTCCTTCCGCTCTTATATACCCTCGAGCTTCCGACGCATCTTGACGCGTCGATCTCGACGTTTTTAAACAGAGGAGCTGTTAATTCGCGTTCGAAACCGTTCCGAGGATGACGAATACCGCTAATGAACACCGCAACCTCGAACGAGTGGATACCGGTGGTTTGTACCTCTGTTCGCGCCTCAACGAAAACAGTCAACCCGCAACGTAGTTTATTTATTGTTAGTCACTCGATGTTTTTTTTCTGGTGACGGGAAAGTTGATTCGACAATACTCGTTTAAATCTTTGCACTATGATTTGGTGCGTCGGTCATTGTTGCAATATTAGAACGAGTAAAGAAAGTTGATATGTCAATCTGGTATTATGCAATTATAGGTATTATGCAATTATCTGATATTATGCTGTGCAAATTATAGTTTGACTTGAATAACAAATTGAGAGAATTGATCATAGTATAAGCGCATCTCGTCAAAATACCGTAAGGGGTTAAAGTTAAAGCCTGGTCTGGAGATGTGTATACTATTAGATTTGTACTTCGTTAGAATAACAAATGTTTTTCATAACATAACGATGTGCAAATAGTATAGCCATGTCTATATCGTACATGACAGTTTTACAAGCGAGCAGTGTTCATTGAAATTTCTGATTAGAACCTATCGCATGACGAGCTTGTTATTCTTAACAGCGTGACGCCGTGTTTCGCGTATTTGTAACTTCGACACGTAACGTTTTCGTCATCGTTCGTTATCTTCGTTCCGTTAGTTGTAACACGTAGTAATTAACATCCGACAATTAGTCATTTCGGCTTAGAAGATTTGATCAAGTTTTAAAATTACACGAGTCGTATATTGCACGGAACGCGCGATCGTTAAGGAGTTAATTGTAGCGCGGACAATTAGCGAATCGTGTTCGAAATGCTTTATCGTCAACAGAGTTCCTTTATGCTGATTGGCTGTTAATTACGTTATCTTAATGCAACACGGTTTGTCTATTATCGCAGCCGAATTAATGTCGTTTTCGTTATCATTATCATTACTGAATTGGTATAATTTTCTACTTAGGCACACGCGCCCCATTATCTCGCCGATAACGAGACCCCGACACTCCGTGCCTTCCCGATAACGGAAACCGACAATTAGTTTTGCAAATTGCTGCAACGTAGACAAACTTAACAAACCTGGAATATCGCAGATTACCGAAACATGCTTCGTGCTCTACCGAATTTTAATTCTACTTTGTTTTATTCGAAACTTATGCAGATATGGACTAGGAGTTATGTGGACATGTATGTAAATTTTGAGATTTCTTATTCTTACAATCTTTATCTCTCTGTATCCCCAAATTTTTAGGAACCCAAGTTCTCAGATCTCCAAATTTCTACATCATCGAACTCCAAGGCCCCTAAATTTCTAGGTCCTCAAATTCTACTTTCCCGAAATCCTGAAATCTTCAAATTCTTAGACAGAACCTTCCAAATTCTGAAGTCCTCAAATACACGTATCAAATCTTAAATCTCCAAATCCTAAGATTCTTAAATACCCATGTCCCCAAATCCCAGGTTCGTGTCCCCAAATTTAAAATTCCTAAACTCTCTCAGAATCATGGTAGACACCTGTGTTATCTTTGCCATTAACTGTATATTAGAAGAAGTGTTCAACCGAACACCTGGAATGAAAGAGTTGCAACGTGAAGCGTTTCTTGCGTATACATCGGTCTTTGTCAGTTTCGTTTCCAACGAAGCAGAAAATACGAATGGTTATTTCTACACTCTTTGCCATCAAATTATTTCAAGCTCGACGCACACGTCTTTGAAACGAGTAATGAGCAAGTTAATTCGCTTGGTCGGGATTTGCGGCGGCCAGGAAAGGCTCGGTCTGGGAAACTTCGACGTCAATTAAACGCGCTACTTCAACTCTCGCTACCAATAACCTGGCTGGAACTTGCGAAATGCCTGCTTCATAAAGGCCGTCACGGTTGCCGTTAACTCCCCTATCCGATTACAATTGTTGCCGGAATCTTGGCCTTCGTTCCTTAAAATTCTATTTCACGCGAATAAAACGGCAAGTTCTATCTTGCGATATAACCCTCGAACACGACATCTGATCGTCCTAACACTCCTGTTAATTCGATGTAGACCGAGAACTGTTAGATTTGTAATTTTGACACGTGTTAGTTGACAAAATTTGGAACTTTCTGCATCGTGTGATCCCTTGGTAATTCAAACTTTGTAGTAAGTAAAGTTGACCAACGTATTTGGTAACATATTTAATAGACGCAAACACAAAGAGCTATATGTATTTATCAAGTTTCAGGAAACTAGAAATACACATGTTTATATTTGTCACTCAGTTTCAAGTATGTTTGGATGAAGTAAACTTGTGGATATTGTAGACAACCCTACTTCTGGCTTGTAGGAGGCTGACCAGGTTCAAAGTCTGCCTACTCCATCTTGCACAATCCTAACATGATGTCTTTATGATCACTCTAAACGTTTACGAACTATTCATACCGTCGAAAATAAATGTAAATCTAGGTGTCCTTTTCTTTCTTGACCAATCGACGCTGTAGATCAGTCAAGTCCTTGTGTCCGCCTCCTAGGCGCGAACAGTAGGTTTGTCTACAGTACTTGACTCTTGATTATCGTCACCACGTGTACTTTATTGATAAATTTCTTACACTGTACACTACATTTATTAACCCATTAACCTATGATTGAACATAATTTCCATTTACTGTATCCCAAGTGTAATGTCGCGAGTGTGAGTGAAAGGTTTAAGCAACGTTTGACGCAGAATTCGTTCTAGTCAGATCAGTGAATTTTGTTAAAATTTCCCGGTTTTAAAACTGGGTCAGCCCCCCGCTGGTATTACGTAAGCAGGGAAGTTTTAAGCACTAAAATAATTTGAAACTGCGAGTGCAATCAGCGAGGACGAAAATAGAGGAAGCCAGCCAACCCTCGTCTCGGTTCGATAACACGATGTCGTGTTCGAGGGTTGTCCTCGTCGGTATTTCATAAAAAAAACCAACTTCCCGACGACGGCTGAGCGGAGATGCTTCGTTAATCGATTATCGTTATTAGGTTGCGGCGAGTGGTGGTCGGGGCTGGTCGTTCAGCTTTTGTGATCGCATGAAAACTCGTGCGCGAACGAAGCGTCCGCGTCGCGACGCCACGCCGGTTGATTTCGTCGGGAATCGATGAAATGCTTTTCGCCGCGCGTTCGAGCGCGTCCTGGCCGAGCGGAAAACGCGACGTCACGTGCCGGCACGCTCGTCAATGGACAAACGTTCATTGAATAGTTAAGATCTCTTGGCGTGCTTCCGCTGCAAACGGCGACGCGTGTTCTCTGTTAGCTTTGTTTTTCTCCTCCCTGCATCCCCCTTTTCAACGATGAAACCCATGCTTTCAGAAAAAAATTTAGAGATACTTTGATAAATTGTACTGGAATATATTATTTATAGGTTTATTTTTGTGAGTTCTTTTGGAGAAACAGGAATTTTATCTGCTAGATTCTTGTCTGGTCTATGTTTTGATATCAGTGTTTCGCATTGTGCTCTAGATCGAGGATATTGGAATATATACGTTCATGTAGAGGAGTTCCCAAGTCAATTGGTTACTTCGATAAAACTGGAAGTGGGAGTTCACAAGTCCTTAAGTACCTAAGTCCCGAAGTGATAAACTCCCTAAGTCTCAAAGTCCTCAAAATCCCTCAAGTACCCAAACTTCTAAAATACTGAAATTCAGAACTGATAATGTTGGAAAAACCTGAAGTAGAGAGATGGAATCTACATATCCCCAAACCTCCAAATTCTGAAATGTACAAATCGCTGAATCACTAAGTGTTCAAATTCCTAATCCTTCAAATCTCTAAATTCCTGAATTACCAAATCGATAAATTTCTGAACCCCCAAATCTCTAAACCTTTATGTCCACAATTTTCCAAATCTCTAAATTCCCAAATTCTTATATTTCTAAATTTTCAAACCCCTAATTTGCTAAATCCCCAAATACATAAATTCCTAAGTCTTCAATATCCCATATTTTCCGAGTATAAATTTCCAAATGTCAGTTAATCACTCACAGTATAATTAACAGAAACAATGATCAGTAAAAACTAGCTACACTCCATTAGAAATTATAACACATAATCAATCAGAAACAATTCTGTCAGAATGATGGAAACTGTAATTACAAATGTGACATACTTGAACGTAACTCACCGCATCATTAATATCGCCAGAACAACCGAAACTAAATTCATTAGGAAACAAATCGGGGATGGGTGAGTCTGCGTTTCATCAGTTTCAAGCGAAGAGGAGTCAGCGTGTTGACGCAGACACGAAATTCTGGTCGTGATCAACATTTGTTCACCCTGAAATTTCAGTCCGACGAGATCATCCTCTTCTCTTTACTCATATTTGGCTTTCGATTTATTTCTGCCTCATGCATCACTAACAACAAGCAGATTACACCATCTATCGAAACTGGAGATATTGATCTTAGGGTGCATACTTCTTGGGTAAATGTGGTACACTACTGTTGACTGTGATGATACTGGGTTAAATTTGCAGATGTTGGAATTTGGGAAATTATACATTTTGCGTATCTCAAATTTCTCACGCCCCCAAATTCTCACGTTCCCAAATTTCCATATTTCCAAATTGGCATATCCCAAATTTCTCACGCTCCCAAATTCTCACATCCTTAAATTCTCACGTTTCCAAATTCTCACATCTCCAAATTGGTATATCTCAAATTTTTCACGCCCCCAAATTGTCACATCCCCAAATTCTCACGTTTCCAAATTCTCACATTCCCAAATTCTCACAT